AAGGTTGTTATATATTGTCCTAAGTGAAATCTTTGTTTTTGAATGTGTTTCGGCAGCATTGCGTATTCCTTGCTCCCAGAAATGTAAATTGTTTTTGTTGCTTTTCTTGCTTTGAAGAAGTCATTTTAACTCTTGATAAATTAAAGTTCTTACAAAATTGGATTAGTTACACTTGTCGATCTATTTTCAAAAAGTGGCAATTTTTTTGCATTCCACTGTTTCGTATTCTATGAAATGTTAAGAGCAGATGAAGTTCGATTCAATATTGTATCAACCATTGAACTTTTTAAATTAGCTTGACAAGTATCATTTGTCAAATTTACGACAGAATGCTAGGGTTAAAATCTTCAAAAGATTAAATACGATGAATGCAATGCATCCTTTTATTTAACGAGGCTGGAAATGGAATGATCCATTTTCAAAGAAATTACAAGAAACCCTGAATTTAAAAAGTTGTCGGCTGATAATAAGGGTTATCCTGTGGGAATAAGTTGTTGAAAAAATCAAATCATTAAAATAAAGCGATTATTGGCATTTGTTGTTAATGAAAATTATAAAATAGCGATTGTTTTTTAACAAGAAAATTTTTTTTTTTTTTTTTAATAAAAATAATTTCGGATTAGAAAGCTCATTTAAAAAAATATATATATATGGGAGGTAAGCTATTAAAATCATGTTACGGATCATATGATTTACTATGTTCTTAACTCGATATTAATAGCAAACCTCCCATATATTAAATCTTTTTTTTAATCCAATTAATTTTTCTTTTCATCTAACGGAACCAAAAAAAACAACAAAACAATTAATTTTGTGTTTCTCGGTTTTTCCATCCATTTCGGATTCCTGAAGCGGATGAAATTAACTAATATAATAAATAAAATTATGAGGTAAGATTATCTTGTTAAAAATGTGTATCGTTTGTAATAATTTAAAATAGAAAAAAATTTGCCTGGTCTTCAGTGATTCCATCAAATATACTTTCTTTTATTTTTTCAATTAAATTATGATGATTCGCGTGTGGTAGATCATAACGAAATCTTTTAAACCTCCATGGTGGATTCATTGAAAGGTTATAAACTACTTCAACAATACGTCCTACATATTGTTGAAAATCATGTTTCCATCTTCATGAAACATTTGGTTAATCAACATTGTTGTCTATGAATAAATTCAGTAAAGTCGTTAATTACTTACGAATTCTCCCACTCTTCATCGGTAACATACAGTCCCCGGCGAAAAGAATGGCGGTGGAAGACCGCATCTATTTTAGGCTGCGGTTTCATCACTTTCCGGATTTAGGCATTTGTTTATGTGCCCAAATCGGACATTGGAACCTGAATTAAAAAGATAAGTTAAAAAAATAAGGTTTGTTATTTGTTTTTATTTTGATTTATTGCCCCTATGGTAAAGCACCCATTCAAGGTTCATGTTTGGGCAGCGATTAGTGCTAAAGGAAAAATCGGCATACATTTGTTTACTGAAAATTTGGATCGTCATTTGTATCGAAAAACCTTGGACGACCATCTGTATAACAAAGCGGATATGTTATACAGACGCGGCTGGGTCTTCCAACAAGATAAAGACCCAAAACACACCTCACACGATGTTCAGGGGGACTTGAAAAAACATCCTCCAGGACGAGTTCTTTCTTGGTCTTCATACAGCCCAGACTTGAACCCTATTGAAAATGTATGGGCTGTATTAAAGGGAAAGGTGGAGAAAAAGATCAAG